TATCTATCTATCTATCTATCTATCTATCTATCTATCTATCTATCTATCTATCTATATGTCTGTCTGTCTGTATGTATGTACAGTATATATATATATATATATATATATGTCTGTCTGTCTGTTTATCATCTATCTGTCTATGACATCTGTTTGTCATTTCGATTAGTTTTTTTTTTAATTATCTCCATGTAGTTTTATATTACATTTTAGTGCATTTAAATGAAAAGAAACCAGAAAGAAAAATGCATTGGATTAGAAAAATGCTGAGTATTTACACTGGTTCATCACTAATCAGTATCATAATCACTCGGTTTGTTGAAGTGATCTCACAGGTTTGTATCAGGGTAAGTAAGAACTTACAAACTCACATGCTATAGACAAACACAGACCCTTGCTGTACCCCGTCTCTCTGTTCGTACCTCCGACTGCCTGTTTCCTGTTTGTTTCTGTCCCTCACTTCTATGTCCTTCTCTTTCCTGTCCTTCCTCCACTTCCGTACTGTCTTATTCTGTTCTCACCTCTGCGTCTCCCTGTGGTTGTGTTTGCAGTGGAGGGGCAGTGGTTGGACTGGGCGGCCTGGTCTCAGTGCTCTGTTACCTGCGACTCTGGAACTCAGCAGAGGCAGCGGCGTTGCAGTGTGTCGGTTCATGGCTGGGCGGAGTGTAAGGGGCCGCATGCTGAAACTCGTGAGTGCACCAACCCGTCTTGTGGGGGTAAGTTACTCTGTGGTGCGCTTACAGTCTTAAATTGACAGGTAGTTTATGTGCACAGCTGCAATTTGTTTGCTGTCATGGTCTAATTAATTGCAGCGAACACTCTGAATTGTCTATGGTACCAAACCGCAGAGATTTACTGGTTTGCACCGCTCAACTTGTTCCACAGATATGCTGCTGTGTCAGCATATGCCAGTAAGCACCCCTGATAATAATTAATAAGCTCAAATTAGCTTCATGCAGGTGCTTTATGACCACATTCACACTGCAGCTAAATATTGTTGTCACTTCACTTTTAAGTGCTTTACAGTTAGTTCCGGGCCTCAAATCCGATTGGCTGAACAATGTTATAAATACTGTTATTTTAGAATCACTGATGTATTATTATTGTATTTGTTGGTATTTTAAGTTAGGTATTATTTTTATATTTTCTGTTTACATTTCATTTCATGCATTTAATTTTTGCTAAACTCTTAGTCATTTTGTTGTGGGTTTTTGTTATTATTTTTGTTTTTGTATTTTGTTTTATTTAATTCAATTTAATAAAAAAAAAATATTTAGTTAACGATTAATAACCCTGTTTCCAAAAGTGCTGATATACAGTCTAACAGCACTGGGTCATTTAACGTTTGTTTTTACTGTGTTCCAGTCAAGAGTATTACAACTGCATTGTGTAGATGGTCAATGATTGTAATTATATCTTTTGGTTCTTGTTTTCTTGTTCCTGTGCAGGTGGAGGGAACTGGGGTGCTTGGAATCACTGGAGCTTGTGCTCCAAGACCTGTGACTCGGGTTGGCAGCGGCGGTTCCGTATGTGTGAAGGCACAGGAATCCAGGATTACCCTTGCGATGGCTCTGGAGAGGAAGTACGCTCATGTAATGACAAGAAGTGCCCAGGTGCGTGTTCATGATCAAAACACTTTCTTTTTTTAAATTTCCTCTTGGCTCCTTCTATTTTTCTTCCCTTCTGATTTTTTCAACTCTGATTTCTTATACAAAGCCATTGGCTCTTAAAGCCAATTATCAGTATGCCTCAAACATGTGTAAAGGTCTATGGCCTATGCTCTTCTGAGGTTGAAAGTCAATATATTATGAAGCTTTTGCTGATGTTTTAAAAAATAAGACTTTTAGACCCTAATGTGTACCCTATTTGTAAAAAAGTGCCCTTTGCTTTTGTCTCTCTTCTTTTTTTCCCCTTTTCCTTTAATCAGTGTGTTTTCCTTTAGGCCTCTCTCACTCGTTTTCTCCATATTTAACATTCTCTCTTCTCCTTTGTTTCCATTTCTTCTCTCTTTCTATTAAGACGGGTCATTCTTGACAGAAGGGAATTGTTCAAAGTGCTGCTATGTGTGATTTGTCAGCATGTCAAGCAGCACAGCAAACAGCAGATTTTAATAAGCATGCCGTTGACTGCAGCTTTGGGAGGCTATAGATTAAATAAATGTCAGACATTGCCGCAGAGCTTATATCGGGCACAGGGCTTTGATGGCACCAGAAACTTGAAGACAAAAATCTGTCCAATAGCTTTGTCGGGGTGTATTATGTTTAGATGAAAAGGGTAGGGTTCTGTTCTCCATCTCTCTCAGCTTTCAAACCAGTCCCCTTCTGTGTCTCACCCCTGGGTTGTTCTCTGTTCTGAAGAACCTTTTGAATGAAAGTTGGGATGTGTGTTGTTGTATCTCGCTGTATCTGTCGCTGATCTTCACAGAGTTTGCTTTGTGCACTGCAAAAACTAATTTTCTTAATCAGTATTTTTTTGTCCTTGTTTCAGCGAAATATCTAGAGACACAAACCTAACTAAATTTAGATTTAAAACATGAGAAATCTATTTGCCAATGGATAAGAAAAAGAAACTTAATTCAGCATAAGTAAACAAGACTTACACATTTTTGTCCTTTTGTCAGATTGCGCCAAAAGGACACAGATACGATGATTGATTGATTGATTGATTGATTGATTGATTGATTGATTGATTGATTTAGGGAAATGCAAATCTGTATAGATTTAAGATATTTTTTTTTACTGGAACAGGCACTGATTAAGAAATATATTCATTAATATATGGGAATTCAAAACAGTATACATTTTCTATATGTTATTGGAAAACTTTATTGGATATCTATCTATGTGAGAGCAATCAGTCAATCATCAATAGGCTTTATATTTAATGCTAGTTTGTACATGTATCCTAGTCTTTTCATAGTGGTTAATCTCTTACTTTTGGTTCATACTGTGTGCAGCACCTCATGAAATATGTAAAGATGAGTACCAATTAACCATGACGTGGAAGAGAGCCTCAGCTGGAGAGACTGTATACAACAAGTGTCCATCTAATGCCACTGGTACGTCATTGCACACATTCTCTCCACTCACCACTTCAGGTCTTTTGGAGGCATTTTAGAAATAAGAAATATTAAAATTATAGCTTACCCGATGATGACTTACCCTCATGTCATTCCAACCAGTGGTGTAGTGGAGGGTATACGCAGGTATACAGCGTATACCCACTTCCTTATCAGTCGGCTTTGCGTATACCCACTTCTAAATCCCCTCTGATGCGCATCATTCAGTAGTGTCCTGCATTAGCCAAAATCATGACAGTCCACCATGACTAGCTAATCAAATCGCATGTGAATAAATGCAAATATTCCCTAAACATACCCAGTAAAGACAGTGATGCGGTCAGAATGCGCCGGCTTCCCTTTGAATTTGATTGATGATTGAGCCCGCGCCCGCCTCTCATCTCGACAAATCACATGAATGCAAGTGGAGTCTGGGGCTTGAGTGCATGTCAGGGAGGCACGCAGAGTGATAAAATAATATTTAATTATTGACTCCTAATTTGAATCTGTACATTATAACGAAAACAATACCTTAAAAATGAAAAGAAGCAAGTTTTTGCAATCAATATTTTTTTTTAAACCGGTAAACTTTTCAGTTCAAGGATCCAGTAAACGAATGCCTTCAAACAGTAGCCTAAGTTCAAAACAGCTACAGAGAAAACCCGACCGATTTCATTAGAGATGGCTTAGAGTCACCTCCAGAATTATTATTTTCAGCGTGTATTTGGCTTAAAAGCAAGAGTGTTATAATGGATGCTGGCTGAAGGCGTTTTAGATTTGCGGTGGTCAGTGGTTTAGTGATTCTGAATGGATCAGGACAGGTAGGTCAAGGCGGGAGCTGTAGTGGTCTTTGGCAGCTCCTTGTGGTCCTGTTTGGTATCGCAGCTCAACTTATGCTTACTGGTATTGAAAACGTTTACTTAATTATTGATTGATTGTGGCACTGTATATACATTGTGAATTCTGAAAATTAAAAAGTACTTATTTATTTAATATAAAAAAAAAATAAGGGGGTTGGTCTGGGGGTGAGTACTGGTACCTTCTTTTTTTCCACTTCAAGCACTGGGTATAATTATTGTAATAACAATTTGTTCTTATTTACTGGCTGTCACTTGTCTTTAATAATGTTTGAACTTTATATTTGTTAGGCTAGTGGTTTTTGCTGTGGTATTAAAATTGAAATCGAGAATTGTCACATTTTATTGGTATCTAAAATACTAGTGTCATATAAGCTTATTTATTAGAATACAAGATAACATAGATAAAAAAAAAACTGATAACAGCAACTATTTTGTTTTTATTGTATTTATTTATTTATTTTTGTGGCAGGGACAGTGAAAATGTTGGCAGGCTGCTGAAGCCTGAAGGTGTTTTTTAGATTCTGAATGGATCCATATAGAAGCCAGTACAGTCAGGTCAAGGCAGTAGGTTTAGTGATCTTTTGGCGTCTCCTTGTTGTCCTGTGTGATATTGCAGCTTGACTAGTGCTTAATTGTATTAAAAATGCTCTAAACAATTTATTTATTTTTAATTTTTTTGCACTATATAGTAGGCTATATAGATAAATTGTAAAAAGGTATGGGGGAAGTAGGGGTTACTATTTGCCCGTCCACTGTATGCCATGGAAGAAACAGTCAGTCAAACATAGGAGTAGGCTGCACGATACTGGATAAATTGATAACAATTAGTTTTTTACATTTTTTTTGGTATCAAATACAGATAACTAAACAAAATAGCTTGTCTACTAGAGGTTCTGACAAAATGTTAATTGTTGCAGTCTATGTAATTTTTACATTTTAATAATTTATTGCAAAATCTGCACCTCTTTTGTGGCTAATATTCATTTCATAATGACCCTTACTCCGTGAAGTCAAGTAGCAGAAGTTATAGTAAGTGAAAATGTGCAAGTACTACTGTCCCATTTTGGGGTGAACTAAATATGCAAGACTAGTCTTACATCACTGTTTATAACACAGGCCGTTCATCCTTTGCTGGGCCGCTTAAAAAAATGGGGACATAAATTAAGAGTATACCCACTTCTCCAGGCACCACTACACCACTGATTCCAACCCATGACTTTTCCTTCCATTGAACAAAATGTTTAATATTTTGAGGAAGATCAAAATGACAGTTCATAGTTTATTTGGCTGTTATGGTCCAAAACAACTAAATAAAACCCACAGATGACAATTTGAGTCATTTGAGTCATTGTTCACTGTTAATGCCAATTTATTGCCAATTTATTTGATTAATTTAAAGGTATAGTTCACCCAAAAATGAAAATTACCCCATGATTTACTCATCCTCAAGCCATCCTAGATGTATATGACTTTCTTCATTCAGACAAATGCAATCAGTTATATTAAAAAAATGTCTCCTTATAATGGCAGTAAATGGTGGTCAAGATTTTGAAGCCCAAAAAAGTGCATCCATCCATCATAAAAAGTACTCCACATGGCTCCAGGGGTTAATAAAGACCCTCTGAAGTGAAGCGAAAAATATCCATATGAAAAACTTTATAAACTGTAATATCTATCATTCTGTACGTGCATTCACGAGAGCAGATGGCGCTCCAGCAGATGGCATAGGAAGTAGCCATAGCGTAAGCTCCGGTGAGAATATGCTAGTCTCACGAGAACCAAGTTTTGTTTACAGCAAGGGAAAGCCAGTCTCCTCTTGGTTTAAATTGAAATCCTCAGACATTTTTCCTTACGAATCCTTGTTTTGTAGAGATGACGGTTTATGAAGTTTTAAATATGAATATTTTTCTTACACAAATGCATCGATTTGCTTCAGAAGGCCTTTGTAAACCTCTCAGAACTGTGTGGAGTACTTTTTACAGTGGATGGACGCACTTTTTTGGGCTTTGAAATCTTGATCACCATTCACTGCCATTAAAAAGTTTGGAAGAGCCAGGACATTTTTTAAATATAACTCTGAGTGTATTCATCTAAAATAAGAACGTCATAAACCAAGGATGCTTGAGGGTGAGTAAATCATGGGGTGATTTTCATTTTTGAGTGAACTTTCCCTTTAAGTCATTATTCACTAATAATCTTCATCTTGATCTAGTAATTGCTGGTTTAGTCTCTATCTAGGCCAGTAATCAAAAGTTTGCAGTTTCTGTGTAAGGACTAATTCATGACCATTGTACAATTTAACTGAACCCCAGCTTGCTCAAGGATGACCGTTCCTCTAAAAAGTTTATTGTATATTCCTCTGGATAAAAATGTCAGCTAAGTGACAAATTGCTAGTAAATTAAAACCTATCAAGAAAAGTTAATGATCCGAGCTTGATTAGCGTCAGAGTGTACGCCACCGCATACATCACATAAAACTCTAAAACTACAATCTAATGTTGTTTTGGCCATAGCCAAAGACGCCATATCTAATGTAATCTCTGATACATTTGTTTCTTCTCACACCGTGACACGCAGCTTTATTAAAAGATTTTATGATCGGTTAAACCACATTATAAAACTCCATCAACGGTGCAATCGCTCAGCTTCCAAAACCAACATCGCACAACAGGCTCAAAATAAGTTGGTTTCCACACAGTTAATCAGCATTCAGTTCTTAAGCCCATTGAGATGAATTAGTGGTGTATGAGAGAGAACTTAATGAGGATGTTTACAGGCCAATATGTGCCATCACAGAAAGTTAATATAACAATGATATCAAGTCTTTTTCAAGGTTTTGGCGGATTGAAATGTCAGACGTTGCTGCAGAGCTTGCATTGGACCCAACAAAAAACACATTTCTTTCTTTGCGAGGCTGTAGATTTAATGTCACACACTGACGTTGTCGTTTTGTACATGATGACATTCATGTTTTGTGAATGTTATATATTGAGTGTTCTGCACTCTTCAAATTGTCTCAAGAGTTTCTAACCCTTCCCAGCACAGTGGGAGAGTGTTTTGGGGTTATTTATACCCTCTGAGTACAGCGTGCAATAATTCTCAGATACTAGTGAAGAAAGACACCCAAGGCGCTCAGTGATTTTTACCTAATAAAAACAGAAAGACCTAATAAATGATGTCTTTGAAGTGGGAGCGCAGAGCAGTGTTCAATGAGGTCAACGGCGAGTTGTAATCTATATCATCCATAACTCCACATCCCGGCCAGCACGGACTGTCATGCACGCTAACCCCCAAAAGAAAAAACAATTCCTGCAGAGAATGATTCGCTTGACTTTTCCACGTCTGCCTGCGTTCCCTGTGTGATTTTCAGGCCCATTTTTATCCCAGCGAGGGTACCGGGGGTGAGGCCACGGTCAAGTCTAATTGGCCTTGATCTGAATGATGCAAGTGGCAGAAATGTTTAAGCAAAACTGAGATTACAGCAGTGTAAAATGACTCAAAACAATTCTCAGAACAGATATTATCCCAGACATTATCGTATGCCGCATCCCAGTGAAGTCTTTTATATGATACGTGTGAACATCACAGTACGTGTCTGTCAAACCTCGACATGTTGTTATTGCTTGTGCCCAATGGTGATAATGATCTGTTTTTTCTTCCCTTTCCCTGTAGGATCTGCTAGTCGTCGTTGTTTGCTGGACGCTAATGGAGTTGCTTACTGGGGTCCTCCGAGCTTCGCCCGATGTGTCTCACTCGAATATAGATATTTACATTTATCTGTGAGTACATGGATGTGGATGATGTGCCGCGAGGTCACAAAATGGGGGGAAATTAGATTATGAATATGAATTTGTTTATGCACATTATTTAGCAAACTTTTACTGTTTTGATAAATAGTTTGTGTGATTTATTTAGAAATTGGCTCTGTATTAGAGTATTCCATCTTTACATACATATTATAAGATAATACTACTTGTTTTCAGAGATCATTTTGAATTATTATTATATATTTTTTTTATCGAGTTTTGTTTTAAGCTTCATTCTCAAATAGCATTAATAATAATAATAATAATAATAATAATATGTACATCAATAATGATGTTTTGTTGTTAATTGTTGTTAAATTAATTAAAATACACTGTTTATTAAAATACACTGTTAATACTATATACTATACTATAATACTAGCAATGCTACTACTACTTGTAATAATAATAATATAACTTTGCTGTAATGATAATAATAATAATAATAATAAATGTTAATATAATACAAATAAGAATACAAGTTTGTTGTTATTATTATTAAATAAATTGTATTGATAATAATACTAACAATAATATTTAAACTAATAATAATAATACAGTTATTATTCTTAATTTAATTGCATACATATTTTATTAATAGTACTAACAGTGCTATTATTATCATTATTATTATTATTGTTATTATTATTATTATTATTATTATTATTAATATTATTATATTGCTAAATAAATTAAACTAATGTGTAGTTACAAAATTTAAGATGTATCACCTTGAAAACAGGTCCTAATATTTCATGCAATTTTACTTCAAAGTACATTTAGTTTAGTTTAGTTTAGTGTTTATTGTAGTTTCTGTTTTATTTATTTTTATTTTTTTTCAAGGATGCATGGAAATGTTTTATTGGAAAACAAGACAAAAGGACGGGTGAATGCAGTTTACACAGTGATTTAAGGGAGTAATCATACAGGGACAAATTCAGTTGCTTAACTGACATTTTATTTGATAACTTCCATCTGCTACTGTCAGACCCTGAATTTTGTAGCTCAGTAGATAGCATAGATAAGCAGCTGAATATTAAGTAATAAAAGTTTAATACTCCAGATTTGTAGCTGTACATCAGTGAATGCATATCAGAAGCGAGGACGCATTTGTTTGCATTTTGTTTGGTGGTTTCACTAGAGCGGATAACAAGCCACAGAAAAGTGATAGATCGGAGTGTATTTAAAGGGCCATGTGTGCTGGAGAGAACATTGCTGCTGTCACTTTCCACAAATGATAATAACGGCAAAGACCACTCAGCAAAACACTAAAAAGAGTCAATTCCACTGTCGTATCCCCACTCATTATAAGACACAAAAAAGAAAATGAAAACCACTACTTGGAGAAGCTTCCTTTGAAATAATCCCTACCGTAAATGCTTAAAAGCTTGAAAAGCAACAACACAAATCTCACAGCTTTCATATTGATTATGTACTTTCTATCGCTTTTTGTGTTTTGATAATGATTGATTACTTCCTAACAGATTCAACAGCCTGCCTTCATGCGCTCTTTCTAATTCCTCAGCCACGACCTTTGACTTTGAGTTCATAATGCCGAGTGGGTTTTAATTCGGTCTCGATCGAGGCTTGATGTGACAGGGTTGATTGTGCTGTTAATGTGTCCGCTAACCCTTCATTGTAATCAGACAATGCTTAATTAGCTTTGATTGCCATTGTCTGCCACCTCCTGCACTCACAGTTCTGTCATTAGACAGTCAACACTTCGTCTGCTGATGTTTGACCGCAAACAAGAACTCTGCTAGTTGATTCACTAAGGGAAAAGTTGTTTTCACTTTGTTATGCTCACAGCTTGGTCGACTATAGATGGGAATTAGATGAAGTAGATGTGACTATAGATGGGAAGTAGATGGCGGCTGTCGATACCTGCTAACTGCTTTCGCTTTGCTTCAGACCCGAATCAATGTTGTTTCAGCTTCAAAGCCAGCGTGTTCTTCTGCACTCTGGCTTACCTTTAAATCTGCATCTACATTTCAAGGTGCTTATTTATTCTCTTTTTAAGTTAGTTTATTTATTAAGTTTGTTTTAAATGAATGCAATGAAAGTATATTGGTGCGTTTGTGGTTTAGGCCTGTACGGGTGCACTTTTCTTCACATGCTTGTTCATATATTTTAACTTATTAATTATTCTTTCAGCTACAAATAGTTTAGCATATATTACCATTTTTAAATGAACAAAATTCCACAGATTTTTCCTTTAAAATCGGTGGAGAAAATGCATAAAAATTCCAGGTCTGCTGATTTAATTTGGTATCTCTCTGGTTTTATTTTTAAACCCAGGGTGCAACTTCATGCTTCTGTGGTTATTACTGAGGTTTATTTATCAGTGTCTGTGCATAAAATAATGTATTTTTTTTCTCCTCCTGTAGTTGCGTGAACATCTTGCGAAGGGTCAGAGGACCCTGGCAGGGGAGGGCATGTCTCAGATCGTGAGGAGTCTCCTGGAGTTAATGTCCCGTAAGAATTATTATAGCGGCGACCTCTTATTCTCCGTGGAGATTCTCCGAAATGTGACGGACACCTTCAAACGAGCAACCTACATCCCAGCTCCTGACGACGTGCAGGTGTGTGTTTGCCTGTGGGTGTGTGTAAAAGTACAAGTAATAAATGGGTAGATGACAAAAACTGTGACCGGGCAATATTTCTTTTAATGTTTTCCACTGTTTGTACAGATTTTTAAGAGCTTTTCTGTATCTGACATAAATAGAAAAGTACATATACACCACGCAGGCATAATCCGAGGCTATACAATGGTATGTATATTACACAGCTTTAGATCAGTGCTTGACATGCCAATTTCATAATTACATACAGTGCCGCTTGAAAGTTTGTGAACCCTTTAGAATTGTCTATATTTCTGCATAAATATGACACAAAACATAATCAAAATTTCACACAAGTTCTGAAATAGACAAAGAGAACCCTAACAAACAAGGGAGACAAAAATATGTTCTTTGACATTTATTTATTCTGGAAAATGATACAATATTACATATCTGTGAGTGGCAGAAGTATGTATATATATATATATAAATATATATACAGTGGGTAAAATAAATATTGAACCATTTTGAACAAATAACCACCATTTTTCTCAGTAAATATATTTCTAAAGGTGCTGTTGACATGAAATGTTCACCAGATGTCGGTAACAACCCAAGTAATCCATACATACAAAGATACATATATATATATATATATATATATATATTCATTTTTTTGCAGTGCAGAGTAGCAGATACATGTCATTTTTTTTTTCATTCTTTCATCACACAATTTCCATCTTTTTGTCTTTACTGTTTTTTTTTTTTCTTTTTCAGAAATTCTTCCAGATTGTCAGCTTAATGTTGGACATTGAAAACCTTGAGAAGTGGGAAGACGCTCACCAGGTAAAATATCCTTCCTCTCCTCTCGCAAGACACCTGCAAATATCCGACCAAAGAGCACAACTATTCATATCTGTGCCATTTTAATTTCCCCTCAGACAGAGCTGTGTCATCAAAGCCAGGTCTGATCTTACAGATTAACAACAGATGTAATCAGACTGGCTTTGGATGTAATAGAAGCCGACTGTGAAGTGTGTTGAGAAAGGGATGTGCTGTTAGAGCTGCCTTTTTGCATTACACCGCTCCATTAGACACTATTTGACTTTAGATGCTCTGCAGTGAGGTCTATGTTGACTTCGATGTCAAGCCAGGACACTTCTGCATGGTAATAAACTTTCTTCAACTCAACCATCCATGAAGCCTTATTTTTTTTCTGGTGAAGACCCACTCATGCCCTGAGGCCCGAACTAACTGCAGGAGATCATATTCTGACTCACTCAAACACGTTTTCTGGTAATGTCAGATTACTGACACATTATGGCATGGTTATGCTTTACAGTCCAGAGTTATAGTGCGCATCATGTCAGGGTTGCCAAATACATCCGTTCTTGTTTCAATCTTTATGGGTGAAATAGCAAAAGATGCTTAAATAAGTCTTACCTTATGTACCAATTTGTAGTTGAGCTTGCTAAGGAAAGCATGCTATTATTGCTCATATTTAGAGGTGTGGATTTGAACAAACCTGTCACATCTAACTGTTAACTGAGATATTGGTCACACTTTATTTTAAGGGTCAATTCTCGCTATTAACAAACCATTAACTATGACTTTTGCCTCAATAAACTCCTAATTTGCTGCTTATTAATAGTTAGTAAGGTAGTTGTTAAGTTTAGGTATTTGGTAGGATTAGGGGTCTAGAATATGGTCATGCAGAATATGTGCTTTATAAGTACTAATAAACAAGGCAAGGCAAGGCAAGTTTATTTATATATCACATTTCATACACAATGGTAATTCAAAGTGCTTTACATACAAGAAAAGAAAATAATAATAAAAAAATAATCACAACAATAAAACAAGGAATTTAAAAACTTTGAAAATTATTTAAAAATTGATTTAAGAGGTTTAAAATGAATTTAAAACAGTTAAGAATAGAAAATGATTATACATAAAATATAGTGCAATCAGTTCGGACATTGCACAGTGCTCTTTCAATAAACGCACAGCTAATGGTTTAGCACATCTGATCTCTTCTGGACAAACAGCCAATATGTTAATAATAGGCACTGACAAGCTACGCAATATCGCATTCTTAATCGGCAATGAATCGCCTGCGATTTTGAACGCGATTTTGCGTAGTTTGTCAGTGAACTACGGCTCTGTGTAGTAAATGCCGCTCCATTTGAAAGCAGGTGATGGAGATTCACTAATAATCACAGAACCGGCTTTACTGACGAGATGCGCATGAAAATCGCATTTGATTATTTGCACAGCCCTATTAATAAGCAACTAGTTAATAATGAGAATCGGTCCCTATACTAAAAACTTTTTAAGACAAAAAAGACTTAATGAACTTTCTATTCATCAAAGAATCTTAGGCCCCGTTTAGACTAGTGCGTTTTCGTTTAAAACGCATAACTTTTGCTACGGTTACGCCTGTCGTTTACACTACCCTGGCATTTTCGAGGTCGAAAATGCTTTTGAAAACGCTGCAGACCCCGTTTTATTTTGAAAACTCCAGGTTGCGTTTCAGTGTAAATGGACCAAAACGGAGACTTTTGCCCACATTCTCTGTGCGTATCCTTGACGACCGTGTAAACAATAACAGCATGCTCATTGTTGTACCCATAGATATGTATAGGTAGATCCCCATTCGACCGCTCCAAGCACGTAGGGTCCGCCATCTAAATAATAGGGAATCTACCTATACATATCTATGGTTGTACCTGCATGAATGGTCATGTGACATGTGTTTTCGGTTGTGTAGTGTAGACGGAGATCGTTTCTGAAACGTAGTGAAAACGCCAGTGTAGACGAGCATCGTTTCCATTTTAAGATGCCAAATTAGCATATTTGAATGATTTCTGATGGATCATGTGGCACTGAAAACTGGAGTAATGGCTGCTGAAAATTCAGCATTGCATCACAGAAATAAATTACATTTTAAAATATATTTAAATAGAAAAATATTATATTACATTGTAAAAAAAATTCTCGATATTACTGTTTTTATTTTATTTTTTGATAAATATATGCCACCTGCCAACCATCCAAAATATGCCTGTATTAATTTTTGAAATACAATATTGTGCAATACAACTGTGCCATTGCTATGCCAAAATGAGTGCCTGATGCCTTCTGCCATAATGCACTGTGCAGCCATTATAGTGCACTGTAGTCACTGATGTCACTTTCTGTCCAAATGTATTAAGGTTCATTCATACTGTTCATGTGCAAGTGAAGTTATTTTTTTAAATTATAGACATGGGATATGTGGAGGTAATGGTGACTTATGGTCACATACGGTGCAAAGCCTGTGCGGCACATGCTCGTGACTCCAGTGAACATTTATGTTTGTGTACGTATGCGGGCGCCAGGTGCTTAGCTCTGCGTGACTGAGCCAGATTTTGGTGTTAAAGCACAGTTGAGCAGGCAAATCTTTGACACACCTCCTGCTCTCCCTGCTCTGTAAATAATCATCTTCTCTGTGTTCACCATGTCCCCTCAATGCTCGTTCTGTCTGATAGAATATTAAAGGGGAAGTGTTTCATTTTTTATCTTAAAATACTTTTCCCAGTGTAAAACTACAAGTTAGCCATTTATACAACAATGACAGATGGGGACAGTGAGAAAAAAGGTGGTGAAAGTTGAAATTATGTGATTTTTTTTTTCTCGATACATTTTACTTTTATATATTTTACCAAAACTACACTATTCAACACACTATACACCATTCAAAACTTTGGGGTAAGATTTTTAAGATTTTGTATGTATTTTAATAATAGCAGTAGTAGTAAGTAGCATTTATTGTTATTATTATTATTATTATTAGGCTCCTCAAAGATAAATGTTTGTAATAAAAAAAAAAAAAAAATTAATAAATAAATAAATAAATAAATAAAATAATTGTTTCCTATTGTAAAATGGCAAAGCTAAATTTACAAGCTGATTTACTGCTACAGAAATATTTATTATTATCAGTGTTGAAACAGTTGTGCTGCTTAATGTTTTTGTGGAAACCGTGATATTATCCAATAGACTGTGACAGCTGAAACTCAAGTTATAATATTTTGATTCAACTTTACAAACTTTTTGTCTCTTTCGAATAACTTACACAGATTAATCAATCACAGTAAGAGCAGGAACATGCAGGGAAGTAAACAGGGATTATGCTGATTTCATTTTGACTCTAAAATGGGATCATTTTCCTAGTTAAAGAGAAAATATGATGTTCACAATTTTTGTTTTACCAGAGCCTATATATGTTTTTGTGCCAATTTTCATTTTCAGTTTACAGTGAGTTTCTGAAAACAGTAGCATAATTTTTACATAAACATGACACTTGTTCAGGTTCACACATCACAGCCTCTCATTGTTAATACTGTATGTCTGTTAGTGAATGTACAGTATATCTATGTTCATGTGTTTGCGATTGTCTTAGCCTTGCTGCCCTTCAGTAACAGAGCTTTGCCACACCATCTGGACACTTACAAAGTGCACATATAACAAAAGCTATTAATAGCAGAGAAATCTTGAGTTTGCATACTGAATAAATATAAATCCAAGCATAAAACAATTCCGTTTCAAGAGAGTCACAAAGTACACATGATAATACAACCATTGTATCTTTACTAAATAATGAATGAAAATGAATATGGTAATCATTCAAGAGGACAATGGTACATTTATTGGTACATTTCCACAAGATACCATGTAGTTTGGGCAGGGTTTCATTGTTCTACCATGTTTTTGTACATGTAACATGATAAAACCATGTTTATTTGTACAAAAGCTTTAATATCAGGGGATTCTATTAATATACATATGAATATAAAATCTTTCAAAACTATGGTAGCTAATACTTAAGAATATTGTGGTATTAACTTAATACCGTGTTTTTTGCATATGGTACCATGGTAGTAACATGTAGAGACTGTTGTCTCTAACACTGTGCTAATGTAGAGGATTGGCCGTCAGGGACAACAATCAATTATACTTTAATTTTCATTGTACTGAAAAATATGTATACATATATTTCACAGAAGTCACAATTTACCAATCAGAATCACACGAGACAACCAAACTCAACCTCCAAGATAAAGATTTTCAGTCAACTAGCATATTTTCCTCAGACTATGGAAATTAGGTCGTTTTGTGAAAGATACCAGAAGTCTGTTTGGAAAGAATGATGTCAGTTCCCCTCCAATTTATTTCAAACCAACAACGAGCACCAGTCTGCTTTGTCTTTGTCTGGATGCATATAAAATCACCACATATTACAATACGTTTAATTTGGGATAAATTCAAAGCTAATGCAAACCAGAAGTGTATAAATACTATAAGTGGAGTCCCCTATGGCATGGAGCGACACCACATTCCTCAGACAATCACAAATGGCTTTTTTTTCCATACATGGGAAGGAAGAGTACAATTCCAATTAGACTGAGAAATGGGCTCTATGTAAAGTGCAAGTGGCACGCTGTTTTCTGGAACAAAGGGCTAGTGAATTAAAACCTGCTGCCAATTTATAAACATGACAGAGTGGAGAGCTGAGGGATGACGGTATATACTGTGCCTCATCTCACACATGAATGCTTATTTTCCATCATCGTTTCACGGCTGCAACATAAACTATCACGATTTGGCTGTAAAAATTGCACTGAAAATGAAAAATATTTGAAGGCAACGTTTATTGTTTTTTTTTTTTCAGTAACAAACCGCTTTTTACTGTTGACAGTTATTAGCCAATTGCAATAAACAGTTTATGGACATTTAGTGGTGTTTGTCTGGTAATTATGGGCGTTATTATCATCTATCTATCTATCTATCTATCTATCTATCTATCTATCTATCTATCTATCTATAGCTATCTATCTATCTATCTACACATACAGTATACACACACACACACACACACACACACACACATATATATATATATATATATATATGTGTGTGTGTGTGTGTGTGTGTGTATGTATATGATAAAGCTGAATTTTTAAATCATTCTAGATGTGTTGATTTTGTGTTCAGAAAACAAGAAAACATTTCTTATGATCAGTGTTGAAAACAGTTGTTCTGCTAATTTTGGTTGAAACAGTGATAATTTTTTTAAGGTTTAAAAGCATTTATTTGAAATAGAAATATTTTGTAACATTATAAATATCTTCACTGCCACTTTTAATCAATTTAATGCATCCTTGATGAATAAAAGTATTATTGACCCCAACCTTTTGAAAGGTAGTTTATGTTTCAGAGATCATACCCACAATTGAACTAAACCTCATTTCTTCTTTTTGTATTTGTATTTTTGTGATTGTGTAACTTCCTTTTAGGTCTCTCCGGGTTCTATGTTACTGATGCGAGTTGTGGAAGACTTCATTCATCTAATTGGAGAGGCTCAAAAGCCGTTCCAGAGCTTTCTGGTCGTCACCAACAACCTCAGTAAGTTCCCATGGCATGGCCACAAGTAAAGGTCATGTTGGCCTCCAGTGCAGATCTCTTAAAGGTACTTCCATGAGGCGTTTAATATTTGAACTGTTAATCTGTCTTTCTCTGGTTCTGTCAGTAATCACCATCCAGCGAGAACCGGTTTCAGCTGTTTCAAGTGACATCAATTTCCCCATGAAGGGGAGGAGAGGAATGAAAGACTGGGCACGTTCTGCAGACGACAAACTCTTCATCCCCAAAGAAGTCTTCACTCTGTCTTCTGATGGTAAGTGATATAGAATGCGTTGGGTTAGTGCGATAGTGATCTTGCAGGTTTAATTCCAGCTTGAAACATTTTCTAATCTTGCCACTGTTTTACTGTTTATTCAAGACAGAGGCAAATAGTTTTAGTTATGCTTAAATGTGATATGTACAATGTGTAAATATACACTATGTGTGGGTTGTTTTCAATTATCATGTTGTTTTTGTGGTAACAGTGTGCGAGTTGCACTGCATCTCTGCATGCAGCTCCATCATTGTTATTAATGAGATCCTTTGGTATCAGCAGCGGTTCTGAGTGTCCCGTCAGGGTTCTGCTACTTAATGTGTACACCTCTGGCGTCCTAGCATGTTATATGACTCTCTTCTCTGTCACATTTAAGGGTTTTAAACATCTTTTTCCTGTCTTTTTGCCATCCCTCCTAGAACATGTACGCACTGCCAAGTTCTGAGCATTGCATCCACATTAAAATGCAGGAATGAGTCACCTAAATCAGTGATGCTCAACAGACTTTACATTGGATGTCTAGCAGCGACCAAATACAGTTTCAAAATTGTTTGAATTGTTAAATTGAGTTTTGATGATTTCATGCTCTTGGCAGCCAACTATTCACTGCACAGAATGCATTGTGGTTAGCACAGACTATTTCCTTATTGATTGCACCCATATTTATGTAGTCTGGATTATATTTTCATTTACCTTGTGTAGTTTTGTTAGTGAGTTTGTAGGATAAAAGCATGTCACAGTCACACGGTCTGTCCATCTATGCAAATCTTCTACAGTATGACAGACAGAACTTGTGCCAGGAGATTTAATTTGGGAAACTTTAATGTCAACAACAAAAGATATGGGAAATGGGAACCTTTCTTTTAAAAGTTGAGAAGCTTAAAGGGATAGAAATGTTGTCATTATTTATTCACCCACATGTTGTTTCAAACCTGTATATGTTTCTTTCTTATGTTGAACATAAACGAAGATATTTTGAAGAATGTTGCTAATCAAACAGCTGATGGTCCCCATTGACTTCCATAGTATTTATTTCCCTATGATAGCTCAGAGAATAGAGGCAAGATAGAAGTCAGGCTCCATTCAGACCAGACCAACAGGGCTTGTTGTGTGATTGTCATCCATTAACTCATAGTTTAACATGCAGTCAGAAGCGCTGTGGAGCTGATTGGCATTTGATTTGATGAGAACTGCAGTATTGCTGGATGAGTCACGGCATTTGTCCTGTGACATCCATGTTCTCAGTGAAGGGACGATGCACGCCTCCCTTTATTCCTCCTTTGACAGAAAACTGAGCTAAAAGAGTCTGTTTTGTTGGTCTTTCGAGATTCTGGGCACTGAATTATGATTTTAGTTATTTTTAGCGCATGATGGTCCAAAATAGAACTGCCATTAAACTTAATGTGTCTGTCTGAGGGGATCTTTCAATGACACAAAGTTTGTTTTGTTTTTTTTTCTTCACTGTGCTAAAGACAAAACAAATTATTAAGATATCATTAGGTAATAATAAGTTTTTTTGTTTTTTAATACTGTGTGTATGTATTATATGTGTCTATGGTAGCTAGCATAATTTCTGCCCACTATTGATGTTAAATGTGTAAGCATCAGTGCTGGTGTTATTAACAAAAAATAAAATAAAATAAAATAAAATTTAAAAAAGCAAAGGTTTGCTATTTGAAATAAAGCTGAAAAATGACAAATATTAGATGAAATTATATACTATAGACTATATAACTATAGAAACTATAACTCTCGTGTCAAAAATCTATAACAAAAAATAACATTTTTTTTTAAGTTGAAGTATTAAAATTATTAAAACTAATAAAATAGATAAAAAGATAAAACATGAATAAATAAAATATGACAACACATAACAATAACTAAAACCTAATTTAAAATGAAAATAAAACAGAAAATTAAAAAAAAAATCCAAATTATATAAAAATCTATAATAGAACAAAACGTTTTCAAATTTATATAGATATGAACATTTATTTTCACAATAAATATGCATTGTCATGTTAAATACAGTATTTTAAAAAACTGTTAAACATATTTAATAAATGTTCTAAGGTTCTAAACCATAAACAACTTTGGAGAGGTACATGTATATGCTAATGAGATCACGTTATTCACTCGTACTTGGTGACAAGTGTATTCTTTTGCATCAGAGAGTATGCATATTGTGTTCAGTGATTTTAACAAGCTCTATATTTAAGCTAAATTATTAAACCTAAACTTTCATAATGTCAGTGGAAATTGCAGCAGTGATTCAGCCATGCTTGGCCGAGTTTCTCTTCGTGAAATTTTTCAGTAAAATCAGAGCCTCTGAAGTGCCTTAGAACAGGGCTAAATGCTCATTTTCCATCTCTGTATGAACTTTGAATAGCTGTGAGGACTTTCAGTGCCGCATGAGAACAACAGAGCAATGAAATGTGGACTTTAGGCCTGTTACATCACCAATTACTGTATCACTTTCACTTTGTGTCCGAAGCATGTCCTCCATAAGTGAAATATGATGGGATTTACTCAGGGACGAGTCTCTCTGGAGGCCCATATCGTTTCGAGGAGAAGAAGAATTGGATGAGACTGAGGAGGGATGGAGAAGAAAGAGGTCCTTGATAAATAGTGTTTCAGAAAAGAACAGATGATGAGGTTCATGTGGAGGCGAGGCACTCGTGCAGAGGAGAGAACAAAACAAATGATATGAAAAGCACGGAGATGTGTGCTGCTGAAACAGGGCTATGGAGCCAGTGGGGAGGAGTGGACAGTTGGCCTGGGAACACAATTGGTGGTCATATCTCTATGAATCCCCTCCTTTCTGTGTCTTTTAAATGTCAGGCTTTGTACTGACTCTCACTAAGAGTTTTCTTAAATACCCTTCCTTTATATTGTGCTTTGTGTTTTTGGTTCCTTCAACTGAAGCTGCATATTATGATCATAAAATTGTTGAGATGTGTTTTTTTCCTTCGTATTTGAAGTATGAGTATGAGTAAGTAGAGTATGTGGATCAGTGACATGATGCTCAGTTTTTTTTTGTCCTGTGTATTAATGTACAAATTGTGTGTGTGTGTGTGTGTGTTGCGTGCGTGTGTGTGCGTGCGTGTGTGTGCGTGCGTGTGTGTGTGCGCGTGTGTGTGTGTGCGTGTGTGTGTGTGTGTGTGAGTGAGTGAGTGAGTGAGTGAGTGTGTGTGTGTGTGTGTGTGTGTATTAGATTAAACACTTAAACTTAAATGAAAATGTTATATATTAAATTTTACATTTTATTTTCTGCTTTTTGTTTTTTGAGCTGCATATTATGATCATGTGATGTGATGTGTTTTCCCTTCATATTTGATTTTAAGCATATAGGTCAATGTTCAATTTTATTTCGTATGTATTAATTTATGTAAAAAGCAAAAGCTAAAAAGCTAAAATTAAATTAAATATAAATATTAAATGAAATACTTAATTACTGAATTAATTTTGTAACTTTTAATTAATAATTCCTCATTAGAAAGTTTTTACTTAAGTTTAATGTAATTTATTTACTTACTTTTTATTTATTAATTGAATTGAATTATTCGATTCATTTGGAGTTTTGATCTGGGAAATTCAGGACGTTTCATGTATTATGTTGACACTTTAACCCTTTCTGTCCCGTAGAATCAGACGACACACCGTATTTCGTCATCGGAGCCATCCTGTACCGCACACTCGGCCTCATAATGCCCCCACCAAAGTAAGTCCAGTGTTTGAGTGTGTGTGAACGCACAAGGCCACACCTTTCAAGGACACTTATTCTGTTTCTCTGCATATGATTGACACCAGCTGGCAGAGACAATGGACAATTATCAAAATTGAAACTGATCCAAAGAATGAAAATGGAACAATCATTAAGCCTGTTTTAATCTGTCTAGAAATGAGCTTATATGACTAAGATGCTTATTTGGAGGTCTTGACCGTAGCCTTTATATTCTGATGGGAGGTCAACAGTTCATACTACTTCGTACAGGATTAACCGTGGTTAATCCGGTAAAGTTTGCCACCCTTTGTAGGCTCATTGTGCTGCCACACCGTCTTCTGCTCTAGTTTTACAACAGCAGCCTAAAAATGGACATACAGTGCTGTCTATTCCTAGAATACCTCCTATTCCTTCTCCACCTGTTAATCATGTGATCCATGCCATGGATATTCTGATGTTGTGCCCAGGGATGTGGCTCTTAAAACCTCAAATTAGCCATGTTATACAGCCTAAGCCTTATCAAACTGACTTAGCTGTTCTCACAGAGATTGACACAGGGGAACATTATTAATCTAGGCAGACACTAAAAAGTAAAAAAAAAAAAAAAAAAGTGATTAGTTTTCTCTTCATATTTAAATTGGAGTGTGTGGTCCAGTGACATACACATATTTATTTTATAATTCATACATTTGTGTCCTACGTATTAAACTTTTTAACTTAAGTCATAGAAAAATAAATATTTATTTATTTAATTGTTTATTTATTCATTCATTAATTTATTAATTTATCTATTTATTTATAATGTAATGCATTTTTTCTGTGTGCATGTGCATTTTTTTTTTCTGTCGTGACAAGTTATAAAAAAAAATGACTAAAAAATATTTTGAACAAAATATTTTTATGAAAAAATAAATATCACTGAGAAAATTATAATAAGATACTTCACTATCTTAAGTCTCTTAAATCTCATATAGTAGCTCAGGTTTTACAGGGACAGTTTTTACATACATTTTGTTCATATTCATAATGTCACGCATCATTTGCGCTTTGAGTGTGGACATAAAGATTACTTACGGAAAATAATCACGCCATGCACAGTTGGGGCAAGCGCGAGGCTACATTTTTAGATATTTCATGTAACTGTGTTGCCTTTGCCCTCAGTGTAGCCACTACTGAGAGCCTGTCTGTATTGAGAGAAAGGAGATAAGCGTAATTAGGCTGATTCGTGCAGCTGACACTGGGGGGCATGTAGAGACGTCTCTTCTCCTGCTCAAGCCCTGCTGGGGTCTGTAGTTCACTGTCCAAACTCACTGAGCATGTCAAAGCCCTCAACCCTGACGAGGAACACAAGAGCGTGCCGACAACCGCTGCTTGTGTTTGCTTCTGTCTCTTTCTATTGTGAGCCGTGTTAGAGGTGCGGGTATCCAGGTCATTGCTCCTCAGTGTGGTTGATTGTGACGGAGCTCGTTGAATATGTATGGGATCAATGCTATTTGTTTGTTTTTGGTCCGCTTTTGCGTTGTGTCTCATTAATTTTCTGCGCAGAGCACACATCCTTGCTCTCGCTGCCCCAGGGGGAGCTAACCTGCCCGATTTGTTTTTGACAGAATGTAACTCCCTGTGACCCAACTCCCACAAGTTTTATCTCTCTCCGTAACGCTGTCATGGTTCACTCAAGGAGCACGGGAACGAAGGAGCGAGGAGACGAGGAGTAATGCAAATCAACAGGTTTTAATGAAGGCACGCTGGGGATCACAGGGAACACTGGAGACATCAAGCAAACAAACTGACATTTAACAGCAGACGCCAAACACTGGGAAACACAGAGTTTAAATGACCAGAAACTAATGGGACACACCTGGGAACAATACAAACTAAACGGGGAACACCTGGGCTGCGTTCAGCCCCGACAAAAACGGTGCAAAACGTTTTTTAAATGGAAACGGTGGTGCGTTGAACACCCTGTTCTGAATGACGCAAGAGTGGAGGAGTATAGAAACGTTTATGAAAGTGTCACTCCACAAAGCAATAGCAAAATATATAAATATGTATAGTATTTTTGTTACATTAATCAGTATTTAGCACACCTTCCTAAGGAAAGGATATGGACCAGAAGACATTGCAATTACTACATGATATTTAGACAGACTTAAGGAAGTTCCAGATCTATACATGTGCTCTTATTATTTCATTTATTTTGCCTTTAATGTAAATAAACGTGCAAACAATATACTTGATCTTGTAAATTTATTTTGATGTTAATTACATTGTGCCAGCTGTCTCTTTAATACCGCACGGTTTATATACATGTTGCTAATGCTCTGTCATGGATTACCTGCCAGGGTTGTGTGCAATTTATAATTCAATTGAATCAAATTTCAATTGAGGCAGCATACAGTGTGCGGAACTGTATTCCGAATTTAAGGAAGTACAATTAAAATGCAGTGAAATTCAAAGAAATTCACTGCTGTAAGTATACATTATAATTCTAACCAGTATTTGAAATGCCGCCAATAGAGATTTGTATTTAATTTATGTCTATTTTATTTAAATAATCAACAACAAATTTAATAAAAAAAAATAACAAAAATTAAAATGTTTTTATGTAAATGATTTTGGCAATATTGAACCTCGTTTAGAGAGATATGTGTAATCAGTTGAAAAAAAAAACGTGTCTGGGAATAAATATGTAGAATTTGTTATAATTTCAAATGAACTAATTGTTTTGTGACAATTTGTCAACTAATAAACATTCTGTTGTGTGACTGTGTTGAATTTATTTGAATTGCCATTTTGAATTTGCCGTTTCCAATTGAACGTTCTGTGGGCTGTGGCCAATTCAATCTTGAAGGGAGCCAGTTCTTAAATTCTGAATGTTGCCCAGCCTTGATACTATTGGTAGATGTGAAATGTAGTCAGTTTTGGATCTAACGCTCTCTATGTTCCTTCCTGACAGAGATCCATTCGTGATCATCTCGAAGATTCTGACTGTGACGGTACGTCCTTTACCCAAGCCCACCGAGCCCTTGGTATCAGTGGAACTCGCCCCTTTGCTCAATGTAAGTACTTTATACTTTTATTTATATTTTAACAGGCTTTAATATTAAATGCATCAACAAAATATGCATATTACATCACAGTATATTTTGATGTACCGTTTCTTAACTAAATCACTTGGGTGACTAGTTGAAGCACTTTTATTTTCTTATACACTACCATTCAAAAGTTAGGGTTGGTAAACTGTTGTTGTTGTTGTTGTTGTTGAATGTCTCTTCTGCTCAGCAAGGCTGCATTTATTTGATTAAAATGCAGTAAAAAGAGTAATATTGTGAAATATTAATACAATATTAATAAATATAGGTTTCCTATTTTAATATGTTTTAAAATGTAATTTATTCATGTGATGGCAAAGCTGAATTTTAAGCAGCCATTACTCCAGTCTTCAGTGTCACGTGATCCTTCAGAAATCATTCTAAAATTATTTGATGCTTAAAAACTCTCATAAATAGCATAAATATTCTCATAAATAAATCCTCATCAATATTGAAAACAGTTGTGCTGCTGAATATTTTTGTAAGTTTAAAAGTACAGCAGTCTTTACTGTCACTTTTGATCAATTTAATACATCCTTGCCGAATATAGGTGTTTATTTTGTTTAAAAAATCTTACAGACCCCATGAACTTATAAATGTTAGTGTATATATGCGGAGTAGAGGAATATTTTCATATATTTTCAGAATTTTCATCACACTTTATTTTAAGGTCCAATTTTCACTATTAACAAACCATTAACTATGACCTTTGCCTCAATAAACTCCTAATTTGCTGCTTATTAATAGTTATTAAGGTAGTTGTTAAGTTTAGGTATTGGGTAGGATTAGGGATGTAGAATATGCTCATGCAGAATATGTGCTAATAAACAGCCAATATGTTAATAATAGGCATGCTGATAAGCATCTAGTGAGAATTGGTCCCTATACTAAAGTGTTAACGAATTTTCATATCATATAATTTCTGCCTTCTTATATATTCTTATATTTCCCCTTTTGGTTCTAACTGTACTGCTAGTTATGGCCTATAACCGATGCACATTCACTCATGCTGACAAATTGCCTCAGATGCAGTGAGCACAGACTTTTAGTACAGTAAGTCTGTTTGAACACCATAATCAGGCACAAAATACAGTTCTGTTAAAATGACCCTCTATTAATAATCCTCTGTTATGAATAGAACATCTTTAACAATCCCTAAATACACAGGACATAAAGTACTGCACATAAAGGCTCTCAATATTTTATGTGGGAAAGATTGTAATAAAAATACACCCGCAAGGATTTATGCAAAATGCGAAACCTGCAGATCGGATTGTGCATCACTGCAGATATCAGCTGCGTGGAGAACACTGCCATTGTGATATTCCCCTAGTCGTCATGGCAAACTTTACCTGCTATCTCCTCCATAGAGGCGTGAGTTTTGGGAATGCGGGAGTGGACGTGATTCATGAATGTTTTCTATGCATGCGTCCCCCTCGTACCAAGGTCGTGCCCTGCTCAGCCGTGGTCCTGGGTGAGTCCCATCTGCATACGAAAGACCTTGGCAGGGGTCAGTGTCCAGATTGTCCAGCAGAGCCCCGGCCGCAGATGTTTGGGACACTGAGGAGGGGGGGATCTGAGGCTGTATGTTGGGACTTGTCCTCTCTGTGTGGACAGCTGCTCTGAGCCATCCTGACCCCCAGAGGCTGCTGGAAAATGGAGGCAGTGCACTCCAGCTGTGTCATTGGCCGGCTATCCTCCCCATTCATCAGTCTTAACACGGGGTTACTGGCGTCTACACGAGTTATTGATCACTGATGTCCAAACGCGTCCGGCTGTCAGTTTCAAATTGAAATGATGTATTCAATTGCATGTTTTGTTGGTTTTGTTTATCACCTGCGATGACAAAACGGCTCCGGTCATTTGTTCTCATTATAAATGAGAGTACCAATGCCATCTGTCTGTGGTGCTGATGAGTACATTCGAGCCAATCGAATGGCATGAGTCCATACTGGACACTTAAAACTGGCCTTAGCAAACATATCACAATTATCGAACATCTGCGTGAGTGTTTCTGGACTGATCAGACTGCTATTCTGTCCTGAAAGCCACTGGAGCGGACTTCCAGCTGTCAACCAGCTGTCATTCAAACACTTATTACTCTGTGTCAACTGTCAAATTTTGTTTCAATCATTTGATCCAATCCAGTTTGTGGCATTGTTTAACCACTTGGGGGCAATACAATGTTTAAAAACCCTGTATAGCATCTGTATCGCGCTGAATCCATCTTCATTGGAAGTATGCAAGCTCACTGAGACCATATAACAAGATATAATTGCCCTCTGATTCTGGAAGCCCTAGTGGGAGTCTGTTGTACCCCTGAAGGTCAGAGGTGATCATTGTTCAGGTCATAAGATCCCATGTGGGATTCCTCCTCCTGAAAAGACATAATAGGCATAACTTGAGCTGAAACAGATTAGTCAATTATAGCAGTTGTTTCGTTGATGAATCAATAATGAGCTGTTCATTCAGCCATGCACCACTGAACCCTGATTAGAGCCTCACACTGGGCATAAAGTGAGGGCATCATCGCAGACTCTCACAAATCAATGAATCAAGAATTAGTCTTTTTTTTTTTTTTTATGATTCACCTACAGTAGTCTACATGCTGGGCTCAAGAGAAAGGTTTTTTTTTTCTCTGTTTTTTTCTTTTCTTTTTTTTCATGTTCTGTTTCTTTATTTAAAGGAAAATGTGTGTGTGTGTGTGTATGTATATGTATATATAGTGTACATATACACTAACATTCAAGTTACCATTCAATATTGTGAAATATTATTACAATTTAAAATAACTGTTTTATATTTGTGCATCGGCACTCATTAAACATTTATAATTAATGTTGAACCTAATATTTTTTAATTGTATTAATAATTAAAAATACTTGTTTTATTTTAATGTTTAATAATTTAAGAATAATTGTAAGAAAAATGTATCATCTAGGACATACATAAATTGGCGCCCCCAAAAATTTGAAAAATTAGTCAAACTAAAAATATATTATTTATTTATTTATTTATTTACTTATGTAACCAGGAAGGTCCCGCTGAGATACAATATCTCTTCTACCAGGGAGCCTTGGTCAATATGAATGGATTTTTATTAGTTAAGACATTATTTAACCAAGTGGCAGAAATGTGGTACACACTTTTCTGAAGCTAAACATTTCACAAAAAGATATTTCAGCCTATAAAACATATGTTTCAAATAAATGCCCAGCGTTGTGTGTTTGCAGATGCCACCTGGTTTGATTATGTTGTTAAATAAATCGATAAAATTCACATATGTTCTCCCACACACTTCATCTCCCTTCATACAGACACAAATGCATACAGTATATTATTCCTTTCTGCTGTTCTGCGATGCAACACTATTTGTTTTGTATTGTTTTGGAGTCATTCCTAACTTTTTCTGTTTTTCTTTCTCCTCTCAGGGCACAACGGATCCTCAGTGTGTTGTCTGGGACTACGGAAACCCGTAAGTCACAAATCTGCATCCGACACACACACACTCACGACATATTTCAGATCTCATTTTATATTTATTCAACCCAGTTGAGAGCATTTTGACATCAGTGTTTGTATTTGCAGACTCATTAATAATCAGAAGTTCATGTGATGAAGTCTTTGACACTACATTAATTGAATTAGTGAGCTGAAATTTGCATCATTCATCTCACCTCATGCGTTAAAGTGAGAATTTGACACCCAATTCCCAGTTTTCAAAACACAATGCCTTCAATCTCATGATCTGATTGTCTTGTGAATCGATCCCATCCAAAAACCTGTCAGCCGTCATGGCAGGAGCTTTATTACCACATTGTCTTCAAAAATCTAAACAATGTTGCTGTTCCTGAGGGATCTCTGGTTATGAAATTACATGCTGTGTCCTGTTCACTCTGTAGTAGTTCCCTATAAAGTGAACACAGTCTACAGTTAATTGTGCTTTCAGGTTCTCAATACTACTCCCCTACTGGCAGAGCTCGTAATAAGCATCTCTCAGCCTAGATGTACAAAAAAAAAGTCAAACAAAAGTGTTTTTTCTTATTTTGACTGCATCTTGATGACGTAATCCTGTCTGTTGATATGCTTTGGTTGCGTCTTTGTGCCTGTTTATTTAGGAGCTTTGAGAGTGCCGCATGTATTCTAGTTCACGCTCTGTTTGTATTTGCGTCGGAAAACATCTGCGCTCCGAGTCTGTTTATATCAGGGAAGAGCGATACAAAAGAGTTTTTGAAGCATCACAAATAAAGTGAGAGAGAAAAGGACAAAAAGAGACACGTCTACACTGAAGATACATTCACACTGACAGCGAGTTACAGTCATTCACTGACAATGAGTGAAAGAGACTGCTTGCGAAGTTTGACCTTGGTCACCAACTAGACACCTTGAAAGTGAGCGACACAGCACAACAAAGCTAAAACGTTGCGTTTTTTAATCAATGAAGCTGTCTACGCTGCAGACTTTGTTGATTTTCATGGCAGCTGTGCATGAAGCACCTGTGGAAATGCTAGAATCTCGTGTGTCCTGCGCGCTCGGCTGCGCCAGTATTTCCTTTTGTGTAACTCCCCACTGGCACAGCACACCTCACGCATCATTAATACGCACCGGGAGGTGGTCGGCACAGCAACAGGCAGACCTGACTAGACAGGAGAGTAGCTGGCAGTAATTACTGAAGCAGAAAAACCCTTCTATCTGCAGGCCGCAAAGTCAATTACCGCAAAACCTGATTACCTCTCCCACCAAACTACATTCCAAATCATTCCGAGATGAATGCGCTAGTGTGATTAAAAAGCGGTGAGATATAAAGATTTTTATCGTTATTATAAACCCAAACATGGCAAAATCACTCTTAAAGCCCATCCGGTGGATTCATTGCCCTTTATTCATTATCAGACGCTTGAAAGGGGAGATTGATACTGTACTGCATAGAAGAGAAAATTACAGGCTTTGGACTTCATAGGTGTGTTTTTTTGTCTTTCAATACAGATCTGTTTGTGTTGGCGCTGCTTTTTTTCCACATGCAATTATCTGTTCATTTAAACAATTCCCAGCATCAGACTTTTTAAGATTACGATCATCTTTCTCTCGCCTCCTCTTTTATTGTTGTCTCCTGTACCACAATAGAATGATTTCTAATTGCTTCCAGCTCACTGTAGTTATTGCACTTTGCCTGTGCATAATCAAGTGAAAATTGTGCAGTCTGCTTTTTTCAGTGAATTCATTTATTCAAAGCAGCCATCGCTCTCTGACGCAGGTTCAATTTCCACGATTAGCTGAAGTGTGTCAGCAGAGAATTGTTCTTAATATTTGCATGTCTTTACATGCACTTTACCCCTCGTGTTCTGTTGAGATTGTCTCTACGGGTTTTATGTCCGGGGTCCCAGAGAATAGAGATATGCGCAAAAATAATAATATGAATTTCAAAATTATTTTACCTTCTTTTTTTAACTTCAAGTTTATTTGGCATAATGAAATCCAGTTATGACTATGTAATAGTAGTGCCATCTGTTTTACCTTAAGTAGACATGCATTAAAAACCTGTGTATCCGTTATATACGTGTGTGTGTGTGTGTGTGTGTGTGTTTTAGAGTCTTAATATGTAAAAGATAGTCTATAATCAGTTTGTGTAAGATTATGAAAAGTCAAAAAGTATCATCCTGAAAGAAACTGACAATGTTAAGTATATTTTTTTTAAGCTGTAAAAATGGTCCTGGGGTCTCTGAGACCCCAAACAGCATGAGGAAAAAAGATATTCCCAGTGAGTGATTCCAGATATTTGTAAAACTTTAAAACAGTTTCAAAGTAAAATCTTAGTTTGGACATGTCCTGGTGACTCTCTATCCAGTTTTTATTATTACATTTATTCATTCACAAAAGTTTTTTTGAGGGCAAAGTCTTCAAAAACAACTCTTGAGAGCTTGGAGAAACTTACAGAGAGGGGAAAAATCCCAAGTCTGCATGAACTTTGCACTGTGCGTGGCTTATAATCATAAATTCTCTTTTATGTACAGAATGACCTTACCAGAGTTTCCTTTTTAATGTTTTATTTTCTTTTTTTCAAAGCTCACAACTGCCTGGGCTTTACTCTTGTACAATCATATTAAATCAAATTTAATCCCTCCAACCAAATCTAAACCTCCATGGGGCCATTTTAATCACTGCTGGCAAAAAAAGCATGGCGCTAAACAACAAATTGCTTTTGATTATGATAACGTAATGGATGTACTATATGAATGTGTGCACAGTGGCTGAGTAATGTTTTCACAGAAGTGCGGTCGTGCAGCTGTGGCATGTGTGAATGGATGCAGGGGGCTATCGGAATCAGTCTGCGCTGTATTTGTTACCAGTTAATTTGTTTTGAGTGAAGCTGTGTGGAATTTGTTTGCATGTAGAGGATCAAATTGCATGCAGTTAGGACATGTGCTGCTGATGTTTGTGAACAGAGCGTGTTGATGTTACATGGGCTTATGGGTATTGATGTTGTTCAGAAATGGACTTTGCTCATTTGCCTAGAGGGGCAAACATGGTTTGTCATATTTATTAGCTCTGCCTGGTTGACTGACACCTCTAAGCAGTTATAAGAAAGTGGGAACAGATTATATGGGCTTTTCGAGAGTATAGATATATTTGGGGTTGGAAAGATTTCAAGACTTATGCTCATTGAGGCTGCATTTATTTGATTAAAAATACAGTAAAAACAGTATTATTGTGAAATACTATTACAATTTATAATAGCTGTTTTATATTTAAATATATTTTTAAAAGGTAATTTAATTCTTTGAGACCAAGCTGAATTTTCAGCAGCCATTACTCCAGTCTTCAGTGTCCCATGATCCTGCAGAATCATTATTAATACTGTATGTTGATTTGGTGTTGAAGAAACATTCCTTCTTTGATATGAATGTTGAAAACAGTTGTGCTGCTTAATATTTTTGTGGCAAAGATTATACTTTTTTTCAGGGTTCTTTGATAATAGAAAGTTCAAAAGAACAGAATATATTTGAAAAAGTTATTAATTTTGTAACTGATATAAAAGTCTTTACTGTCAGTTTTAATCAATTTAATATGTCCTTGCTGAATAAAAATATTAATTTCTTAAAACCATTTGAACAATAGTGTTCAATAGTATATTAATAAAATATTTTTATAATGTAATTTATATATATTTTTTTTAAATAAGTTTTTCATTAGATGGCAGAATTTAAATTTAAATTTTCTAAAATCTCTGATTTTGATTTATTGTTCCTAAAATTACTAAATTTTAATTTTCTAGTACTTAAATGGCATAAAAGGAAAGAATACTGGTAGGGAATTCTACTTTTATTTTCCTAAATTGATGACATTGTTATTTTCTAACATAGTAATTTTCTTATTGGACATAAAAGTAAATAATATACATCATCACAGGCAGGGTAATGAGCTCTTGTGCCTTCCTGAAGGGGTTTAATTTGCATGTGGAGATAACCACATGCAATCTTGAAGGGGTTTAATTTGTGATAATGAGCAACGTGAATGTACTTTATCCCACTTTTTACTTAACATGCTCCAGTCCAAACATGTAAATAAACGTAGCTAAAATACCAAAGTTAAAACTACTGTATTGTTTGAGAAGAAAGACACCGTGGAAAGCCATGAGAGACATCAAACTAACACGGTGTAGGAATTTGGTTGCCATGGACAATGGTCAAATGTAAAGTTTACAGGTCACTGCACAAGATATTTGATGGCAGAATGTTACTATTGACCAGTCAGAATCCAGAGATTCCAGAGAGATGTGTAATATAATGTTAACAAACTCAAACACATATTCACACAAGTTCTTCCTCTCTCAGTTGTCTTTCACTGTCCACATTCTGTTTCTCTCTCTCTCTTAATTACCCTTCTTACTCTTTCTCTCCTCTCCGTACATTGCTGTGTTTTGCTTCCTGACCTTCGTTTGAAGTGCAACTGGTCTCTGCATGCTTTCTTTCATCTTAATGCCACCTTTCCTTCCAGCTGCCTTACATCCCGCTGATCTCCCTCCCTCAACTCTCCTTTCCTCCATTTCTCTTCCCTGTGGCCTTGAAGTTCTCTTCTTCACTCTGTGGTGATTTTGCCTTTATTCGCCCTTTTCCCTGTCTTTTTTCATCTGTTGAATCAGCCTGGTCCTCTCTCCTTCTCTATCACTGTTCCTCTTTGTTGTTCTTTCTCTCTCTGTCTTTCGTCCAGTCCCTCTTTCTCTCTCTGTCTCTCTCTTTATCAGCTGTGGTGCTTGTTAATTGCCAGCAGGTTATGGTGCCCTTTTCAGTGCTGTAGGAAGCCTTTGGTCGCTCCCCATGAAAAGGACAAAGCTTTTAGCGCTTCACATGAGATGAGGAGTATGTGTCTCCAAACACACACACACACACACTGCTGTCCTAAATGTCTAATATTAGAGCAGTTTACATTACATTTACATATAATCATTTAGCAGATGCTGTATATGTATATGTATAT